GAATAAGAGGAACCCTTACATTTTTTGATCTTTGGCAAGAAAGCTATTTCTTGTATTAAGTTGACTACAGTTTTCTTATCCACATATTCGTCTAGATCTTTTAATTCAATTTTAAAGGATCTCACATTTTTTCTAACCTTTTTACCCTCTTTTCTAAAGTATTATGTTGGGTATGATAATCTTCTAATTATTTCTTTAGTGCCTATTTTCATCGGAAAGCACACTATATATATATGCATTTTGTTTATCTAGCCCAAATATCTGGGCTAATTTTTCTGTGTATCTGATAACTTTCTGCTCGCTAGATATAATATCAGATGAATGTTTTTGTTCAGTTACCATTTTCGTGATATATTATATATGCATATCTTACTTCGAACAAAAAAAATATAAATTAATAAATAAATACCCTAATCCTCTAATCCATATATTGTATGTGATTAGTTTTCATCGAAGAACTTGAATGACTTTACCTGGTTATAAGATTACCCCTTCAATGAAAATTGATTGTAGTATAGTTTTGTGCTGAAGAGGTATGCTTGTCAAGGCTATGCCTAAGGTTGCTGAACGAAATCAAGAGTTTAGACAGACATCTAAATGGTAAAAGTAAAACTTGGTTAAATTATATTAAAACTTATTAAAAAATCTGCAAAATTTGAAAAAAGGTAAAACTATATCAAAGCTTATAAAAATGGTGAAACTATATCAAACATTTAGTAAAAATTTAGCGAAACTAAAGGTTTAAACCATTTTGCCAAATCCAAAATGAGTTTAGATAAGCAACCTTAGCTGTGTCGAAGGGCTTGACTAGCAATGGTCATAGCTTCTAATAAATTCTTTACACCATTTGACATAACTGCAAATACTGCACCTAATTTGCACAAATAGCTAGGTAAAAGTGGTTTACTAGTTTTGGGAAAAAATTCATTTTTTTAGAAACATATTAAACCATTTAACTTCTGGTACTCCTGAATCCCCAACTGTTCAGAAGAAATTACATCCTGAATTAAAGTAAGAAGAAGTTTAGCCCACTCTTTATCTCTTTCTAATGATCTAAATATCTGAGAATTATTCTGTTGGCCTTGGTTTTTTGCGTATCCAGTTACACCTCTATTAGATATATGCAAGCCTTTAATTTTAGCGAGACAGATGCAGAGCATGATCATTACATCAGCTAGGGCCTGTTTGTTAAGTATATTAGACATATCGTACAAATATAACCTTTCCTTAACAGATTCTAATGAAAAGTGATTTGGAAAATCAATTCCATCATTTTAACGTTAACCCTACGCTCTTTTTGAATTTTGTTAGATGAGCAGGTTGTATTGGAGACAAATGTAATAGAAATTATTTTTTGGGAGGCATTAAGTTTTCGCAACTCTCTTTAGAGCCTACTAAGATAGAATGTGGTGATGACAAAGTTAGGGGTGGTTAAAGCCTTGACTATCACCTTTACTTTTTTTTCACCAAGATTATACGTTGGACTATACTTTCAATGGTTTCTCCATCTGGGATAATGTCAGAATCTTAGTATATATTAACTTCTTCTGCTTTACTCTCTTCTTCTTTGGGGGTTATTCAACTTTTATTTCGACAAATTTTCTGATCAGAAACTAATATAAATGCCTGCTCTTTGCTAAAATTATACCCTTTTTGAAAGCGTTGTTGACCCTTATTTCGTTTTACTTTATCTGCCAAAAGCTCAAGTAATGCTGGAGCGTGTTGGCTAAGTTTATCATTGCCTATCTCTTTATTAAGTTTGTGATCTGCAACGTACTTTGTTACAATCGCAGACATGATATTGTGGATATAGTCTATGAAGTAACTATTAGATTATGCGTAACTATTAGATTATACTATGCATAAAAAAGTTCAATTCAAAAAAAAAAATTTCTGATAATTTACTATGTAATCCCTTTAGTACCCGTTCATGATCGATAAAAGGTCAGATGAGCGAAAAAAAATAATATAACCTATGACCTAGTCGAAAAGTATATTTTATCGATTTGATAGATATGATATGCGAAAAATATATAATAATTCAGAATTTTATATCATCTATTTGTAAAGAACAAAAAGACCCTCCTACTTAAACATCTTACTTATAAACTGGCTTGTTATTCACTCTTTACCAAAGCATACCATTCTCCTGAAATATGCTTACCATTTTTTTCCATTTCTCATCAATATCAAGCTAGGAGGTTATATTCCTCTCATTCTCAAGACTACAATGGATTATTTCTTCTCCTATCAATCTTTTTCATACTTTCATATCCATATATTCTTTGGGATCTTCTTCCAATTTTTTTGCGTAATCACACATCCGAGCGTCAGTTTTCATCCTATTCTGAAATGTGATATAATCAAACCTGTTTTTCTCAGTAATGATTATGAAGACATCCAGATCTTCACCAAGTTTGACTGCCTTTTTTCTGAGATGCTTTTCAGCTAAGTTCTGGACAGAAGTATGGCAGATGATACTTCATTAGGCTTGGGTAATTTATGTTTGATATTTATTTTTTAGAAGACATATTCACAGCTTTACTGATAGGTTTGAAATCAGAAAGCTTGCTAGTTTCAGGTTTATCGATTACTGACTCAGATGTTTTAGAAATCTCAGATGTATCAGATGTATCAGATGTGATCCCTTCAGGATCTATTGAGGTAACTGAAACTTCAGCTTGCTCTGATACATAGTTGAAAAGGTCTTGAGTCAAATTGCTTTGTTTTATCTTTACTAGTTCTAGGTGGAAGTATACTCTTTTCTGGAAGAGGTGGGATTATTTTTGGGGAAATAATTTTTGGCACATTGAATGTAGGTATATCTGCTGTCTCATTTTCAGGTAAGTCAGATTGAGATGTATCTTCAGAAAATTCTTCTATATTGCCTAGACCAGATTCACAGAGCTTGGCTATAATTTTAGTACAGTCAAATATATACTGATATACTCTTATTCTATTATTCTGTGAATGTGTTCAATCAATACTAATTAGTAAAAAAATTTTACCAGCGACCTTACTAGTTAATGGTTTTTCTCTATTACACCTGCATTATTCAAGATAATTCTGATATACTTTTTCACAGCCAAACCTGTTAATCTGATTTTTAGGCCAAGTTATAATATAATCAATTATAAATCGAATAGGATTAGAAAGATGCTCTTATATTGTTTCTACCTTTATTTTAGTTGCAGGAATTTTTTCTGGACTCTAATTTGATAAATCACGACTAAGGAGATATGATATAACTACTCCTGATGCATCACGATGGTCTAGAATTTTTCCTAGCTGGTCAAAATATGCTATATTATCTCTACAGCATGCAGAGACATTAAAACAAACTATACGAGAATCATCTATATCTATTTTAAGCGGAGTATCCTGATGCTTGTAACTATATATCCAGCATAATTATTTATTCATATAGTTTCAAGACCCTTACGACTATTCATTCTGTTATAAGTAATTTAAGATGTTTGTTAAATCTATGCAATTTTCTACTAGACATCCCAATCTCATTCATAATAATAAGCTTTCGAGCTTGAATGGCACTATTAAAACGTCTAAGAATTTTTTCCAAATCTGATGTTGCGAAATAGAGGTGTAATCTCAAGATTTTATCATCAATAAAATTAGTAATAATATTTTTTCTGCACTGTTGTAATGTAGATTTTAGTCCTAAGATAGTTTGGGAAGGGGGAGAGGTTTTTTTCTGGCTTCTGCATTAAATATGCTCACTAGTTCCAGATATATTTGTCAAGTTTTTCATTCTTACTACAGATTACGTTCTTTACATAGCAGATAATCAGTTCCATAATTTTTTTATTAATTCCTATTGTTGGCTTAACCGGAAAAAGTTAAAGAACTTTATATCATAAGCTGGACTATTTAGTGGATATGGTAGAAAATTAATATTGCAGTAGAGGATTAGACCTTTGATAACTGCCTGATCTATTAAATTAATTAACTTTACTGCCTTTCCTTCTAGCTTAACTAAGTTAACTTCATATTTGGTAAGATCTAGTTTTGGCGTTATATCTAAATAAAGTTCACCATTCATATTCTTTATTTTGAGCACCTATAATCTTGATGTCATTTGAATACAGGCAACAGTTGCTTGAATTGCATCATAAATCTTCATTATGAGAAAATTTCCATTCAGATACACACATATCAATTTGATCACCCTATACAAAGTAATCATTAGGATTTGTAATTCTAGATCATTTTAGTTTTATGAGACTTGGAAGCTTTTATTTCTGATTCTGATTAGCACAGTGGCAATAAAGTTATATATTTTATTTTTTCGTATAATATAGGCATTTTTGCTACTATGCTTCTGATCACATAATAGACAGTGTGATAGGAAGTTGCAAGTTAATGGAAACAACTCTGAAATGTTATCTGAAGGGGTGAGAGAGTATACCCTTCGACACAATTATTTCTGAGTAATGTTTCAACAAAATCAAAATTGGCCTGAGTTATTTCACCATTAGTATTATTACATCCTTTAGCTTCTGGCTCTGAAACAATTAAGAGAAGACTTTCTGCGATTTCTGATTCATCATAAGGTGAATGAATTATGAAGTCAAAAATGGTTTCATCTTTAGGATACATTACTTTTTTCACATGAATATGCTTCTTTGTTTTTCATTATACTTAGGTGAATAAAGCATTCGCAAGGAAAATAAATATTTATTTGCAATATTATCTATAATAGTATTTTTCTGAAAAGACGTTAGATGTTTTTTATGAATAAGTTCAGTAAATATTATGACTTGAGCGATATTCTTAAGCCTCATACCAGTAGTAGAAATATAGAGGGATATTTTTTCGCATTAGTATTACTAGCAACAGTAATACTATTTTTTTTCCATTTTGGAAAAATTTCAAAAAAACATCTCTAAAGGAATGATTGAGTGTATATAGTATCTCTTTATGCATAAGCTTAGGTTTGATATTATCATACATCTCTCGTGACAAATCAAAATCTATAATGGTCAGAGTGGCTCATCTTTATTAATAAATTGATATAAGGAATGACTCTCGTAATTTGAGAGTATAGCTTCTATTTCATCTGCATTATCTACGCTAAGGAAATGTCTTGGTCTAATACTATCATCACAAATTTTATATAAGTATTCGCCAATATCTTTAGCTTTAAAATCTTATTTGTACAGGATGGGAACGTCAAAGAACTATGAAAGCTTAGATTGTGTCATAGTAAAATTTTTCGGATATGTTATCTAGTATACTATTTTAGTATAATATCCTAATAAAAAAGTTTAAAATAAAAATAAATAATTATAGATATTAAAGTGTTATTTATTTAAGAATAATATCAATGGGCAGTAAATACATTTACCAGTATTGTTTCAATAAAGGGAGGTTTGTGGGTGGGGAAGTAGAAAACCAGAAGGGTGTTATATTTACCGGAAAAGACACCAGTGACCTCTATTCAAACAAGATGGATATGAAAGACTGACGGCTTCTGAATATAGATTTTGTGATTGGCATATAAAAAAGTATCACTTGAACACATATTATCATCAGAAAAAGTTGGATAATATGTTTCAGAACTGTCAGATCTTGAAGGCAATGAGTCAGGTTCTTGATAGATTGAAAATGCCTAATGCTATAAGTTAACCCCATGCGCAAAAGATCGATCAGAGTTATAGCATAGAGCTGGCCAAAATTAACCACAAATTCATTGCATCACCTACTACCTCTTTTTTTTTTACACCATTTCAGTATTTTAAAAGGCAATCAAATATGCATAAATTCTCAATATAGAACTAGCAACCAAACAAGCACAGAATGTCAGTGTTTTCAACATGAAACCAGGTATTCAAACAAGGATGGAAAGCTAATACAGTCATACCTCTCTATAGCGAATTTTTATATAACGAATTTTTTGGACAACTATATTAAATTTACCCTCGT